TCATTCTGTTCGCAAGCATTATGATTCATATTTATATCAATTCTTCCCATTCCTTTCAATAAGGTTGCCATGTGAGACAGCAAGTGTAGCACATAATATCTCTGCTATTACAATCTTCAGATACAACTTCCTCACTTGAAGACCATGGTAATGGTGAGGTAAATACATTGTCACTGCCAGGACCAGATACTTGTCATTGCACACTGACTTTCTGGAATTTTACAACTCTGATTTAGACTGTTAATTAGTAAAAAACACACCTTTTCTCATCTTTAATCCCTTAAGGACCGGACTGTTTTTGCGATGTTGTACATTTACGACCAGGCCTCTTTTTACATTTTTGTGGTATTTGTGTTTAGCTGTAATTTTCCGCTCTCTCATTTACTGTTCCCATACAAATTATATTTTTTTTTTTCAGGAAAAAATTACTTTTTTTACATACCATTATTTATATAATCTCATGTAATTTAATTAAAAATAAATAAAAAATATGATGAAAAATTGAAAAAAATACATGTTTTTTTACTTTTACTTGAAAAATCTTTTACTCTTCTACAAAAGCTAATGGAAAAAAACTACTAAATAGATTCAAAATTTTGTCCTGTTTTTAAAAATACCCAGTGTTTACATGCTTTTTTTTGCGCAAGTTATAGGGCTATAAGTACAAGTAGAATATTGCGGTTTCAAAACATACATTTTTAAAATTTATCACTAGTGACATTGTAACACTATTATCTGTCATAAATCTCTGAATAACACCCCAAATGTACATATATTTTTTAAAGTAGACAACCCAGGGGGTTCAATATGGGGTATGTCCAGTCTTTTTTAGAAGCCACTAGTAGTCACAAACACTGGCCAAAGTTAGCATTCATATTTGTTTGTGTGTGAAAAAAAGTAAAAAACTAAATTGAAGGATAATTTGGCCAGTGTTTGTGGCTACTGAAAAAGACTGAACACACCCAATTTGCAATACCTTCGGTTGTCTTCTTTTGCAAATGGTATGCCATCATGTGGGTAATTCTCATTCCTGGGCTACCATACACTCTCAAAAGCAACGTAACCAACCTGGCAGTTTTCAATGTAAAAATATTTGACCCATATATTTGACCCTGTAACTTTAAAAAACGCAATAAAACCTGTACATGGGGGGTACTGTTATACTTGGGAGACTTTGCTGAACACAAATATTAGTGTTTCAAAACAGGAAAACATATCACAACAATTATATCATCAGTAAAAGTGGTGTTTGTGTGTGAAAAATGAAAAAAGTCACTTTCACTGATAATATCATCGCTGTGATATGTGTTACTGTTTTGAATCACTAATTTTTGTGTTCAGCGAAGTCTCCCGAGTAAAACAGTACCCCCCATGTACAGCTTTTAGGGTGTCATAGAAAGTTACAAGGTAAAATACAGTGCTAGCAAATTAAATTCTCTGGACTTTCGGCCTGGGTTGTCAGGCAGGTCCCTCAAATTGCAATCAATAAAATTACTTAATTATGTAAAAATATTACATAAATATGCATGTAGAATTTAAATATATATGCATAATTATATATTTGAAGTCTACGTGTATATTTATATAATTATTTATGTAATTTTGTATATGGACATATGTATATTTTGTATTATTTTTATTTATTTATATATACATAGATATATATACAATTTCATTCTAAGTGTATTTTGATATAAATATATATTAATATCAAAATACAGTTAGAATAAAATTTCATATATATATATATTTAAATTTTTGTATTTTTAATTTAATTTACTTATTATTTGTGTTTTATAATATATATACACACATTATATATAGTTATTATATATATATATATATATATATATATATATATATATATATGTGTGTGTGTGTGTGTATATATATATAATATGTGTGTGTGTATATATATATACATATTTGTGTTAGGTGCTTGAGATAGTACAGTGTGAAATACCATGAATAAGCGTAGGATGATAAAAGGAGCAAGTCGGTTGTGGTGTGCCGAAACCGACGATGAGGTAGGCCTGAGAAAGAAGAGGGCCCACCCAGGAAAAGAAATAGAAAGGAAAATAAATGTTAAAGTGGTGTGGTGGGGGGGTCATTCAACGCTGACCTCGAACGGTAAGGAGCCAGGCAAGGGGAGTGCCTTAAGTAGGCTAGGGGTGGAAAACCAGCACCTCCCACAAATGCAGGCAAATTGCCTTAATACTTGTGTTAGGTGCTTAAGATAGTACAGTGTGAAATACCATGAATAAGCGTAGGATGATAAAAGGAGCAAGTCGGTTGTGGTGTGCCGAAACCGAAGATGAGGTAGGCCTGAGAAAGAAGAGGGCAAAAATTAAGTAATCCAATTTATTAACAGACAATCAATACATATACATTTATCAACCAGACATGTTTATGAAAGCATCTCTTAACTCTTGTACTGGGTTCGGTATGTACCGTGAGTAAGCAGATGACTTCCAGCGCCCCAGCGTTTTGATAACATGAGTTGGGACGTTGAAACTGGAGGCTGTGGACGCGGCTCCTATACGAAAGGAGTGTCCTGAGTAATTGTTTGCGTTGAGGCCCAGTTGTGTGAGCAAGGACCTGACGTAGGTCATGAAGGTTGTAGTGGTGAGTACTGCACCTTGTAGTTGTACTAACGGTTGCGAGGGCAGTAAGTGATGGTGCTGTATGTAGGCATCAAGAACTTTTACGGGACACCATCTGTTGTGCGTGGGGTAGTACGGAATGTTTACAGGTATGTGCTGGCTGGTTTTGGAGTGAGGTAAAGACAGGATGTAATGATCCCTATGTTTTGTCGAGTGGGAATAGAGGAGGAATGGAGTGGTTTGGGTCGTGGAGGTCGTAGTGAATTCTCTGGGTCGTAGAAATCCATAGAAAGCGATGTATATTGCTGTTTTGATGATAGAATTCGTATTAGTGTCAAACGGTTTCAGGTCGAGTAGGTTAGATAAAGCTTTGAAGATATGGTTATCTATGGGTAGCCTCTGGGCCAAATGTGTGGGTTCTGATTTTGAATACCTCTGAGTATGGTCTTAATTTGGTGAGAGGCCATGAAACTGTTGTTATTTGGGTGTAAGATGAGCATGTGGTGTTGAATGCCAGTGAGATAGAGTTTGATGGTGTTGTATGACAATTTGAGTTTAAGGTGGCAAAAGGAAGCAAACCCCAAAAAAGATGTCATAACAAACGGTTGTATGATGTTATGTTCCAGAAGGAATCGTTTGAATAGTGTGAAAGCCCTGTTGTATGTTTTGTTTGTATTGTGTGAAAGTGCCAACTGAGACAATGTCCTGCTATGCTGCATGATGACGTCTAGTCCAGTATGAGTTGTTGAAATGTTGGAGGGATGGTGGCTGTGGGTGCTGCTGACGGGAGTGCTTGATGAAACTCCTGAAATTTAAAGCGAGACAAACTGTCAGCAGCTGTGTTGTATACACCTGGCACATGGAAACAACATAGGAAGAAATTATGACAAGCTGCCAACCAAGTGAGTTTCCTCAGAAATCTCATAATCGTAAGAGATTTGGAACGACCTTTGTTGATGATGTGACAGGTCGCCTGGTTGTCTGGTTGTCTGAGTAACAACGCACTGGCGTATTAGCCCATAAATGACCCCACGCTACGGCAGCCGCCACTATGGGGTAGATCTCAAAAAGAGCTGAGGTAGTGGAAAAACCTTCCAAATCCAGAACTGCTGAAGGCCGGCTGCCCCAAAGCCATTTGTTCCCAAAAATTGCTGCAAAACCAGTGGTAGATGCCGCATCTGACCAAATGGTAGGAGATGATTCAGTCAATTGAGGGAGGAACATACTTTTACCATTCCAAGTGGTTAAAACCTCTTCCACATGTTTAGATCTGCCGTAGCTTGGGCATCTAAGGACAACCTGTGCGTGTCATGTAGAAAAAGTGGGAAAAGATGCAATAGTCGTGAAATAAAGGAGCGGCCTTGAGGTATGATGCGCATTGCAAAATTTAGTGACCCCAGCAGGGACTGTAGTTCTTTGCGGTTGCAAGTGCCGAGCTGTAGGTAGTTGTTTATGTAAGTGAGAATATTCTCTATCTTATCGTATGGTAGGCTTGCTTGCATTGTGGCAGAGTCTAATTGGATACCCAGAAAAGTGATAACCGTGTCTGGCCCTTCTGTTTTCTTTGGGGAGATGGGTACACCTAGTTGCTCAAACAGCTTAGTGGTAGCTTTGAGGCTAGTGGGAGGTGCAGTATTCTCCTCGACCAGTAGGAAATCGTCCAAGTAATGTAATACTGTAGGGCATCCGGCTATGTTCAATAGTAACCAGCATAGTGCTTCGGCAAATGTGTCGAAAATAGCTGGGCTACTTTTGGACCCAAAAGTTAACCGGGAGAAAAAATAGTAGTTCTCGGACCACTTGATGCCATGCAGGTGCCACAGTGTGGGGTGGATAGGGAGTAATTTGAAGGCGTTAGTAATGTCGGTCTTACTGAGCCAGGCTCCAACCCCTGCTTGTATGATAGCTGTAATGGCGTGATCTATGGTGGTGTATTGCAGAGAGAATTCTCAGAGGGTATGAGGGAATTAAGACTGGGGTTGGCCGATGAGTGGGGAGCCCATAAGTCAATGATGAGTCTCTGTTTTTGGGAAGATTTCCCTGTGACAATACCAATAGGGTTGGTGCACCATTCTGTGAATGGGGGAGTTCTAAAAG